AACGATACAGTAGACCCTTGAACAACACAGGGTTGAACTAAGAGGATCCACTGTCTTTTTTAATTCTTTTTTTTTACCCTCACCTGAGGACATTTTTTCATTGCTTTTAGAGAAAGAGGAAGGGAGAAAGGAAGGGAAAGAGACAAACACTGATGCAAGAGAGAAACATCGATTGGTCGCCTCCCCTACAGCACCCCAGACCGGGGATCATATGTGCCCCTACCTGGACTCGAAACCACAACCCTTGGGCTACAGGATCATGCTCCAACCGAGCCACAGGCACCAGGACAAAAGGATCTACTTTTTTTTCAATAAATACTCGTACTATTTTTAATTGGCAGTTTGGAATCAAGGATGCATAGGCCTGACCATATACATTTTTCTACACCATTTTAGATAGGGGACTTAGGCAACTGCAGATTTTTGTATCCTAGGTGTGCTGGAACCCATTCCCCAACAGATACCAAAGGGCAACTGAGTTTTGGAGGAGTCAAAAGTTATACTCAAGCCCTGGCTGGTGTAGCTCAGTGGATTGAGCGCAGGCTGCAAACCAAAGTGTCGCAGGTTCAACTCCCAGTCAGGGTACATGCCTGGGTTGCAGGCCATGACCCCCAGCAACCGCACACTGATGTTTTTCTCTCTCTCTCTGTCTCTTTCTTCCTCCCTTCCCTCTCTAAAAATAAATGAAATCTTTTTTAAAAAGTTATACTCAGATTTTTAACTGCACAGGGGTTGGCACCCCTAACCCCTGCACTGTTCAAGGATCAACTATACTCTTTTACAAATGAGGAAGGAAACTGAGGCCCAGAGAGATTAATTATCTTAAAAATCAGATAGCTAGAAACAGCAAAGCCAGGGTTCAAGCCTATGTTATGTCTATTTGGCCGGAACTGTGGAATTACACTGCCTCTGAATAACAACTACTGTTAATTTAAGAATCAGAGTAAGTTCATCTGGAATATCAGGAGCTGATCCAAACTTGAAAGCACTGGCATATATTACATATGTGCAAATATGTGCAAAGACTTTAGACTATAAAATTCCTTATTAGTACCATTAATTTATCAATCATTGTGTAACAAAAAGTCAAATTTATTGCCTTTTTCTCTGCCCCTGTTCATTCCTAAATGGGATTCTTCCCCTAACACTATTCTGGCATTACTCCTTTTCAGGCCTCCAATACTCAATAACCTCTCAACTCCCAAATTCAGTGGGTCATTTTCTTTTCTTTTTTTTTTTAAGATTTTATTTATTTTTAGATAGAGGGGGAGGGAGAAAGAGAGGGAAACATCAATGTGTGGTAGCCTCTCATGTGCCCCCTACTGGGGACCTGGATAACAACTCAATGGATTATTTTCATTCTCATCCCTCTTGATCTTATGACAGAACAGACCCAACTGACCACTTTCTACAGCTTAATAACAGTTCCTCTCCTTCCTTGGATAACAGTCTCTCCCAATTCCGTTTCTTAGTTCCTCTCCCTCCTCAGTTTCTTTCAGGTACTTAACCCTCTCCTCTGCATAAACCATAAATGAACAGGTCCCCCTACATGCAACCTGGACTTCTTTAAAAAACGCAATTTACTAAATAAATTTGTTCCCAATTTATATTTACACAAGTCTTTGTGCATTTCATTTTTATGAAATCTTTAACATTTATCCACAATCCTTCACTAAACTACAAACTCCATGAAGGTGGGGTGTATTTGTTTGTGTGCCCCACACAGCACTCAATGTTTGATGAATAAATAAAAGCTACCTTTAGTGTATCCTAAAACTAACAATTCATTGGAACAGGTAGTATAACTAAACTGATGTTCTTTTTTTCAAAAACAAAGTACAATATTTTGCTGTGTATAATGCGCACCTTTTTGCCCAAATTTTTGAGGGAAAAATAAGGATGCATTTATACATAGGTATAATAATCCCATATATAATGCATACAAAACCGTGGCTGCTCATTATACACAGGAGCACATTATACATGGCAAAATACAGTATGTGGTAAGTCACAAAGTTTCTGGACCAAAGAATAGGTCAAGCTAGATGAGCAGATCCCTCCTACAGAGCTGATAAACCTGGTATAAGGTCTCATATGCCAACTGACTGTTGTGGCTCAGTTGGTTGGATGTCCTGCCATGAAGCAAAAAGTTACCAGTTTGATTACCAGTCAGGACACATGCCTGGGTTTTGTGCAGGGTCCCACTCAGGCATGTGCATGAGGCAACTAGTCAATGTTTCTCTCCCTCTCTTTTCCCTCCCTCCCTTCTCTCTAAAAGCAAATAAATAACAAAATAAAATTTAATGAGTCTAATAACTATTGTATGATGTCTTTAGCAAATTATCAGCTTTTCCCTGATTCTTTTTAAATCATCAAATCTTTTCCTTAATAAATTCAACATGAGAGACTTCACTGTTGTTGGAAAGAACTGAGAAATACCTTCACTACCAAAGAAGCATACCAAATTTAGAGCTTTAATTTCAGTTAAATATACAAAGGGTCAGAAGCCTAATCGTGTGTGAAAAGAAAATTGCCTTAAATATATCACGCAACTCCTTTTTTCTATTTAGAATCATAAAATCTAAAAAATGGAAAGAAACATGAAGGCTTTGCTTATCTTCTTATCCAACCAACAGTCCTTTCTTCAGAATCCTTGATATTTTTAAACCTCTGCCCAATACTCAATCCTCTTATGTTCTTGTTACCTTTAAAAAGTAAATGTTTGTATTTTTAGGCAGATGACTGAACATAACACATGTAAGGTTGAAGCTAATGCATAAATATATTAGAGATTTTTTTTCTTTTCAACTTCTCAATCACTGGTAAAATAATGTGCAAAATCTTAAGCTACATTAAAGATAAAAAGTACATCAAAGTCACTTCCTTGATGTATGACCAAGGTCACAGACTCAATTAAATACAACAGTACCAATTCGATTAACCTCTAGCATGTGTATTAATATAATCAATGTAATGATGTAGGAACTGTGTTTGACTCAGCAGTAAACTTGCTAGAGAAAACAGTCCTATTCTCCATGGACCCTGGATAGGTCCAATCAGGGCACTTTCCATCCCTAGCAGACAATCTTTGCTTAAACTCCCTAAAACAAGACTCATCTCTCAGTGCCCAAGTCCCTTTCACCTCCATAACTCTCCCCACAGAACATGTCATTAACAAGAGGCATAACAGTTCTGCAAGGGATGGTACATGATATGGAATCACTTATTCACAGAATTAGTGGAAAAGTCTTCAGCTAATCCGAAAGAAAAGTTTATAGTAATTTAATAAGAGTGACATTGAAATCCTACACTCAAAAGCATCTAATTATAAAATACTTTGTTTTCTCCAAATCAGTTCCAGCCTTTGTTTGATGTATATTGTACCTTCATTAGAGAAATTATGCCATTTGTAATGATTCAAATCCTACTTCAAATGTCAGACTAATCCGGAACTTTTTAGAACCTAAAATCTACAGGTAAAGCATTTTAGGTTATAATCACTCATGCAGAAGGATAATGTTGCTCCTCATATACGATATTTCTCAGTTCCCTAAACCAATTGCCTCATAAATTCAAAGGGAATACACTATGACAACTACAAGCTTTCTGTACAAGACTGATATTCTATCTTCGTTTGCACTGAAAGTCTTCACAAATAGACTTTTCCCAGGTTCCTCTCACCATCTCGTTTCCCTGTACTCGCTCCCCTCATGCCCTATGGGGGGGGACTTAGTCTGGTCCCTATTAGGTCGCTAAAAATCCTTCCTCTTGTAGAAGGAAACCAAGATAGAGTTTGCAAAGATAACCTGTACATCTTACGTGTAGTAAATAAATAGCTGCAAGCAGATGACACACTCCACATCAAACCCAGACCCATTTTGGTGAATTCCCTCCAGGGCCCAAATATGTGTATTATGCAACAGCCACCATTCCAGATTTTAATCCCTGTCTGTGATGCAGTGATAAAATAAGAAGGGCATCAGTATAATCCACTAGATAGTGAAGAACATTTACAGGATAAATTAAAACGAAAATCACCAAATTCTCAGGAACCTTGAAAAATGGCAAACTGTGTTAACAGTGCAGAAGCATAATTACAACTTTTCAGTCCGGTAGCCTTTCTCGGTAACCTGTCCCGGCGGCCCCAACTCCCGCAAAAATGCTCACACGTAAGCATTTCAACTGAGGTTTTGAAAGGATCTCCAAAGGGGGGAAGGGGCCGGCATCAGGTGGTTATCCTAAAATGTACTCCTTGTAAGATACCCATACCAATTCCCAGAAGCTGAAAAGCGAGTAGGATGCTTCATCATTTCTCCCAAAGGGCGATAAAGGGAGCAAATGCATGGCAGATCCCTGAGCCACACACAATCCAAGGCTTCACCTAGCCATCTGCTGGAGCACAGGCCTCAAAAAACTCTATAACGGAAAGCTCAAAATCAGAATAAAATTGCAGTGAGCTGCCTTCTGGAAATGAATCTCGGCGAGATCTACTCCAAAAGTAGCTGAAGGTCTGGGAGGTGGGTCAGAGCATCTTTGGAGGCCACCTCCGTGGGTGAACCCGCACCTAAAAGCTTAAGTTTCACACCTGGCCAGGTCGGCTTCTCACCACGCCAAGGAATCGCCGCCGGCGGAAAGGCTCCAGGTGGGGAGTGGTGGAGGGCAGAAGAGTCAGCAAGCCCAGCCGGGAAAAGGAACGCAACTGAGGCGAGCGAAGGAAGGAGAAGGAGGCATTCCCTCACACAAAATGGTGGCGCCTACGCGGAGGCGTGCGCACCTGGGGGCGCGCCACACGCCCCTCAGGGGACCCGGCTGGCCGCCGGGAGCTGGACGCGCGCCCCCGGCTCAGGCGGCCGGCGTGGGCCGCGCCGTGGCCAGGGCCTCAGCGGAGGGCTGGCGTCGCCGCCGTGCGGGGTGCGGGGTGCGGGGCTAGGGCTGGGGCCCGCGGGGCCTGCCTCCGCCTCAGCGTGCCGCCCCCCGCCGGGGACCGGCGGCCCACTCACCTCGGACGTGCCCGCGGAGCCCAGGAGAGGAGGCGGAGCCGCGGGAATGAATGGAGCCGGTGACTGCTCACTGGCGACCCCCAGCCGGTCGGGCTGCGTCGCTCGCGGCTAGCTGGGCGGATGCGGCCGTCTCCCCTTCGCTCCCGACGCCGGGCTCCTGGTCGGTGGGTCGGCCGCAGCCCACCGAGCCCTCCGCCGGCGTGACGCACTCGCGCCGCAGCGCCTCGAGCCTTTGCAGCCGCGCTACGCCGCGCCCCCCGCGAATCCCCCCGCCCGCCCGCGCCGTGTGGCCCCTCCTCGGCGCCCGGGACGCCACCCTGCCTCCCTCCGGGTCTGGCCGCCGGGCAGGTGCGGGTTCCGCCAACGTGGGGCAGCAACAGGCCCCCGCCTCGCCCCTGCCGCCCCCTCTGTCCGCCCCGGCAGCCGTCACAAGGCGCGGCGCGACGCCCCAGCCCTGGGTAATGGCTCAGTATTAAAGAGTGACCTTGGCTTAGATACAGAAATAGGTGCGGGTAAGCTGCAGGGACTACAACGCTGAATTAGCTATCCCTGTAAAGCCAACATTCGCAGAATCCCGTTCGTACATCCCGGCCTGGCGCGGCCCCTCCGGAAATTTACCCAAGGTGGGCGAGACCATCCCGGCCTCGGGACAGGGATGCGGAGGGCCCAGCAGAGCACCGCGGGCCTCCGCCCTGCCACCTCCTACCTAAACCAACGGCGACCTAGGAAGATGCAAGGGAAGGGAAGTCCAGCGCCTTGTTCAAAATCCGGACAAGCCCAAGAGCCAGGACTTCCATCTTGAGATAACAAGAACCCACCAAATCCCTGTGTTCACCTTTTCTCTTTCAGAATCTAGTACAAGCGAACTAACCCTGACCCAAAAGAACGCCAGCTCCACCCTCCTTTCCTCCCCTTTCTCTCTCAACTCTCTTCATCCGCCTTAGTGTCCAGGGCCCTTTGCTAATTACACTCCTACGGACCGAAGATAAGCTCTGAAGTATTTAAAGCACGGTAGATTTCTCGAAAGTAATGCATGTCATGGTTTAAATTATGTTTCATGAATGTATTGAGGAAGAGTATTGTATGCAAGAAATGTTAAGACTTCCTTTTATAGTGCATAAACTCTGGAAAATAAACTCAGCTCATCCAGTAAATTGAAATTGCTTCTTGGAAATATTTAGCAATCACAATAAGAGTCTTTAACGAATTTACTTCAAAGAATACTGGTTGATAGCAGTTTGTTAGACTCGGGTTTTTTAAAAAAATCAAATAGGCTTTTTTATCTCTAGTTGCTCATAAGCACAACTGTTATTGTTTAATTTGAAAAATTAACGGAAATCTTAATGTTATACATTAAACATTTACCATTAACAATGAACTAACGACTTAATTAAGCAGGAATTTTTAATATAGTTGGGTTTTATTCAAGCAAACTTCGAAAGGCGGGAGGGAGTGATAGGGGAACTCAAGAGCTGAAGATTTTAACTTCAATAATAGTTGACAGGCTTAAGTGATTATTGCCTGTAGAAAGCTGTTATTCCTGGAACTAGAATGCATGACCAGTGACTCCAGAGGTCACAAGGAAATTCAACCTTGTGCCACAGGGTGTCTGCAAGCCGTGGAAATGGTATTTGAGCCATTGTGTTCCTGGGAGGGAACATCTGCCACTCAGGTGAAGAATTATTGATCAACAGATAAAGAAGTACAGTGAGTGGTACCTCTGTACTCATCATTAATTTGTTCTGGAATTTGTACAGAGTGCCAAAACTGGAGTATGGACTAGTGATGAATTTTCTCTTGCAGGGCAGCGTTGGGACTCATATGAGTTCTAGCAAGTGCAACTGTCCCAAGCTAGCACCATCAAACTGCAAGGAGTACAGGGTTTGACCAGTTCTGAGACAGAGAGTACTGAGGTATGATCTTACTAGGAAAATCCCAGCCTGACTACAACTTGTATCTAACTAACCTTTTTTCCAAACCCCTTTCCTTCTCCCTATAAGAACATTGGCTTGAGATGAGATGTTAAGATGGTTTTTGAGGGGACATAACCCTCAAAATCTTCTGGATTGCCAGCATCTGAATAAAGCACCCATAAAAATTCAATATTTGTCTCTACTGACTGATTCTGGTAGTAACAGGCGGCATGAACAGCAACTTTTCTGGTTTTGAATTGAAGGAAGGAAGGAAATTTAGTTATATTTCTAGAACTGTATGTAAGTAAGAGTCCCCGGGGTAATCCCAAATAATTTCTACTTTGGGAAGATGTGTGGGGCTTTTTTTGTTTGTTTACTTTGTTTGTTTGTTTTGGCTGTGAGATACTACAGGGGTTGAACACTTAGGCTTTAGTGTAAAGCTAATCAATGCAACAACTTGCTTGTAATGTCTGAGATGCATGAGTATGATTGGCTTTTAGCTATTGTTTTAGTCCTTGGCTACTTGTGCCTGGGAAGCCTGTCTCATTTGTCTGGCCACTCTGCTAGAAATCAGAATTCCATCCACACAGCTAAGAGGGGCCAATGACCCCTATCTATGTAGTTAAACCCAGGTCTCTTCCTGTGGCAAGGATCCTACTGAAGTGCTATGTTCTGCCTCTGTGAGGAGAGTTCCATGAGAACACACTGGCTTCATTCTCTTTTCTCTACTTGCAACATGATGTGGCTTTTTTTTACATGTTTAAGGAAGGAAAACCATTTATTTCCCTCTTTGTCTGAGATACATTAAATCTTGTATGTCCACCCATGCTCTAGGGATCCATGAGCTCTTCGTGAGCAAAGAACTAAAAAAAAAAAAAGTCTATCAGATTAACACATGCTATAAATCACTACCAAATATTTTGAGATATGTTTTGAGTCTTTTGTCTGAAAAGATTTGTCTTAAAAATAAAAAACCAAAATGAGAGGCAACAAGCTTTTACTTAAAATCAAAGAATAGCTACTCCAGAAGCACTGATTCAAGAGAAATCTAAATAGTGTTTTGATTTATGGGATGAGAGCAAAGGCTTTTTTATGAGAAAAGGAAGGGAAATAATTACATGAGTAGAAGGAATTTCTATTGGTACTAATAAATTACTGATTCTAAAAAAATGACTTTTAATTATCAGACCTCATAGTCTGAAGGTCTTCTTTCCTATTATCTGCAAACAGGGTGCTTGAGATACAGTGTTGCATTAGGTTCAGTCCAAAGGTTATTTTGCCCAGTTCAAATATTCCATAGGTTCAAGGAGTAGGAGGTACGTTGCAGTTCCTCTGAAATGGCTGCCTCTGCTCTATTTTAAAATGGCTCCATTTCTGCCAATTTTGCACCGAGTAAAGGGGTATTGCTTTGTTTTTTGTTATTGTTTGTGCTTGTTTTATTTAACTTATAAGTAGAGAGAAACATGTTAAGATGACACGTTGCATCATTAGCATTATATGCTACAACATGGATTTTGGAGATTGCTGGTACAAATAATCCAGAAAAGAGCCCTTAAATTGCAGCAGAAAAGAGGAATTCCTAATGGCTAAATAATGGCTTTTTTGACTGCTAACAAATTGTAAGGCACTTTACTAACTTCTTTGTGGAAATTAACTCATTGAATCCTTATAACCATCCTTTGTGATACTTAACTAATGTTTAAGTTAACTAATGTTTACCTAAGAGGAGATTAAGGCACACAGAGAAACTAATTAATTTGCCCATAGTCACACAAATCATAATTCTGGCAGTTGGACTCAAGACCACATTCCCATAACCAGTATTCTGTCCTGCATCTCATGAGTATGAAATTGAATGCCATATGATTGCATTTTGCTTTTGAAGTCCTACAACATACTAAATACTCAGTGACTTCATGTTGCAATGATTTCTTATACTTAGTATTATTTTCTTGAATTTAAAGAAAGAATTAACCCAAGAAAGAAAATTTGTAAGATTTCCTCTGATATATATTTAGCAAAATTATGTTAGTTTTTGAAAACAAAAAAATCTTTTCACATCTTTTAGGGATCATTGCTCTCCAAGTGTTTTGTTATTGTTGTTGTTTTGGTTCTGGAGCACAATTTTATGAGTATTTATTTAGTGAGTGGAAGAAATGCATTTCCTTAGAAAAGATTCATCACGATCTTTAACCCTTCATTAGACTTAACTGGGTAGAGCTAGGATCCAATATATACAGGATATGTTTTAAATTCATAAAATCATAATGAGAAAGTTTTCATGACTGTGGCAACCCAGGTACTTCTAGATCTGAACTATTAACCAATAATATCAGCTATAGCAACGGGGAAGTGAGAAAGCATTCTTTTTTACTTGCACTACAAGAAGAAAAGGGACTCCATATCCTAGAATCCTTTCTTTCTTCCTCTCATATATAAAATGTGTCACAAGAATGCTTTTGGTATTAAAAGTAATATTGGTGGGGTTTTCTTCATTGAACATACTACCATCTGCAGATTTCAAATTCCTGAGTGATACTATGCGCTTTACAAACAAAGTACCTGAAGAACAAGAGAAATCACAGGTTTGAGAAGCCAGGTTACATTTGTTTTTCTTGGTTTGGTTTGGTTTTATATGAAATAGAAGTTTAAGGACATAGTGCTTGGTAAGTTTAGTTTGTGTTTAAGAAAAATAACATAGTATTTTTAAATATTACTAATGAAACAGTGCATATGTATTATAATGTGTCCACAGCAGAAACTGCAATTTGCCTAGTCAATATCCATTCCATCCTTTTCTTTGACAGACTCAGTTTGGTTCAGGGTGGCAACATGCCCAACTAAAACTATTTCCTCCAGGCTCCTCTTGCAGATGGGATAGCCATATGATCATTTTGGCCAATGAGATATAAGTTAAGATTATTCAATATGGTTTCCAAAAAGGTTTTTGTTTTTCTGATTAAAAAAAAAGTACAAACTTGGTTATCCCTTTGCCTTTTGCCATTTGTACTCTTTCTTCTTTCTTCCTGGGAGAAAGACTTAAGCTTGGGATCAGCCATCTTGTAACTATGAGCTGATAATGAGAGTGAAATTGATGTATTAAGTATGCCAGAGCCAAGATTAGGAACCTGGGACAATGATGACTTTCTGGAGCTGCCTACCAAGTCCAGACTGCCTACGCCCAGTCCTCTAGAGCTATTTTGCTAACAAATGCAATCCTAACTAAAATTCAAAGTTAAAAACTGTCTCCTTGAGATAGCTCAAAAATAGCATTTGTTTTCTTGTATATACACT